CCTCGTTAATTTCTAGAACTTTTAATTTTAGCAATGGCGCCAAAAGCTGAAAAGAAGCCCGCCGAGAAGAAGCCGGCCGGAGAGAAAGCTACGGAGGAGAAGAAGACCAGCGTCGCCGAGAAGGCTCCAGCTGAGAAGAAGCCAAAGGCCGGGAAGAAGCTGCCCAAAGAAGCCGGTGCTGGCGCCGGTGATAAGAAGAAAAAGCGTTTGAAGAAGAGCGTGGAGACCTACAAGATCTACATCTTCAGGGTGCTGAAACAAGTTCACCCAGACATCGGGATCTCCAGTAAGGCCATGGGAATCATGAACAGCTTCATCAACGATATTTTTGAGAAATTGGCTCAGGAAGCCTCCAGGCTTGCTAGGTACAACAAGAAGCCCACCATCACTTCCAGGGAGATTCAGACTGCTGTGAGACTTGTGCTGCCTGGCGAGTTGGCTAAGCATGCCGTGTCCGAGGGGACCAAGGCGGTGACCAAATTTACTAGCTCTTGACTTTTAGGGAGGTCCTAGTTGGGATGATTTGTTGGAAATGATAGAGTTAGGCTTTCATTTTGTTCTTTTTTTTTTGTTTGCTGATGTTGGATGTAAGTAACACAGGTGCTTTTGACAGTGAATGAATGAATGTTTCTAATTTTGTCCCTAATTTCTTACGTTCATTTCTCATTTGTCCTTTGGTTAAATTCACTTCATATTCTGCTTATGCATCTGTGGAATTCAATTCTGTTGTGTGATGAAATTTGAATTGTTCTTGATAATTGATGGTCTTGTATCTGTCAATGGCTTTATCTGTGCTCCGAGAGTATTGTCAAGTTGAAATCTCTGTCGGATGAGTTTCAAATTTGTTCCGTGCTATGTGAGTTTTTCTGTTGTTAATAGTTAAGAGGTCTGGGGAATCAGAAAATTTTCCCCAGTTTGCAGATGAATGGTTGTTGTACGTATGCCTTTTGGTTGGTTGATCATTATCTCTTTTATTTCACTGTTGGATTGGATGTTTGGAGCTGAATCATTGGGTTTTGCTTAAGAAAAATATGTACTAAGAAGACTAGTCCAAGGGTTCTTTTTGTAGTAGCTCTTTTGAAATTGCTGCATCATTAGTTTGGGTGTTGAGGAATTTTGAACATGAATTCAGACATTAGACATTCTGAGGCTGATTGTGCATTTCTCCTGGCTAAACAATTAGCACTTCTATGTTTGCCTGAAAATGACTGCTCACAGAATATTGCATTGAGCACTGTGCCTCAACTTCTAAGCATGGTTGTTCTACTGATTTGCTGAATTTATGTTTGCTGAAAATTGTAAGCGATATAGATGTGTATTTTGAGTTGTAGCTCTGACTTTATTGGTTTGAGAGTTCTCGAGTGGCCTTTTCATCATGCTATGGTGGGAATTGAAGTGTTTATTTTGTGAAACTCCCTTGTTGCTTTTAAGTGTTTCAGAAGAGCACACTTGGTACTAAATTTGTGATGCTGATCCTTCTTCTTCAGCATTTATAAGATGCCCATTAATAGATATATCTTTTTGATGAATTTTGTGGTCCTATATCTTGATTTTTCTCTGTTACTGACTGCAAAATCATCTCTCTTTTTTGTCTGATTAGATAAGGATAGACTAGTGATGATGTCTCTGCCATTGCCCCTTGATTGTAGAGTTTTCTTGTTGCTTGATTGCAGATATAGGATACCTACTTCGTGATAATTTGTGTTTTCTAATTACAGCCATTTGATTCACGCAGCTTAGAATTTAAATTTTGCAGAATCAGTGTGACTATTCATGTTCCTGAGGTAATTTATAGCAAATTGGCTGAATGGTATTTTGTCATGCTGCCAAAAATTTAATGCTTTAATGAACCTGTGACATGTCCATGAAGGATAAACCAGAAGACTAGTTCCATTGTTTTGACATGAAAATTGCAGATGCACCGTAACTCCATGGAAGAAATAGATGTACATTACTTGATTGCTGGCTTTTAACTTTTCTGTCAGCGGAAATTGAGTTGAAATCCGAAACTGATGAGTATGTTATATTTCACATTGGAGCCACTTATTCCTGATGCTTTTGCCAACACTGCACAATTACGATCTTTGTGGTTCAGTGCCATTTTTGTCCAAGTCAAATTGATCTCCAAGTCTTGCACCATGTAGATGATGCCGTGTCACTTTTTGGGTACTGAAATTGCGCTTGGAATCCGAAGTATGCACTTGTAACTTTTGAAATGGGCGCTACCAATTGAAACCTATTAGTAATAAGTGTAAAGGGAAAATCGCCAATTTAGTCCCTAAACTTTTTTTTTCCGTCAATTTAGTCCCTATATATTATTTCTAGCCAATTGGATCCCTAAACCTATATATCGGTTCCAATCAAGGATCTTTGCAGCGGCGCCACCGTATAATTTCCATTAGGTTCATAATCGTGCAATACAAAAGGGGCATTTTAGGGAATTCCATTCTGGCGCCTTTTCCAATTAAAAAGTAAATCGATGTAAAGCCCAAATCTAGGTACTACCTATCTTGCACCAAAGAGAGCTGTCCAATTTTTGCAGACCCGCGTAGAAAAAGCACTGTAATTCAATGCATTCGAGAATGAATTGGGACAAAGCATCCTCAAGCTCAGCCAGTGATCAATTTATTAACACCGTCAAAGGATCAAATGGTTCAGAAACAGGAAACTCGATTTATGAAGGAAACGAGAAATACTACAGTGGAGACAACATCGTGCGATGCTATTGCCAAGAACAATGCCGAATTGTGACTGCTTGGACAGAGGCAAATCCATCAAGAAGGTTTCATGGTTGCAGAAATTATGGGGTAATTTTTTTGTATGTGCATAAAGTTTAGAATTTGTTAAAATATTTCTTGTCTTTTAACTATGAAATGGTGGTAAATGCAGAAACGTGGTGCTTGCAGATTTTTTTTGTGGTATGATCCACCCATACCCCAAAAGATGAAAAATATAATGGGTGCACTTTTAAGGGACCTGAGAAGTGTTGAGAGAGAAAACGCAGCATTATTGATTGAAATGAACAAGTTGAAGGCAAAAGTGAAAATATTGTTTATAATTTGTATCTGTTTTGGCGTTTTACTTGTTTTTGTACTTGGAGGCAAGGAAAGGAAGAAACAAGGTTTGCTGGAATTGAAGATGTTGCAGTAGTTTTGAAGAATGTATGGAATTGTATGGTTCATCTGTACTTTAAAATGAAGTAAATACAATTGAGTTTTCATCTATGTTTGACTCTGTTTTGCTTCTGGATTTGTTATTACTCTGTTTTGCATCTGGATTGCTCATGTAAGTTTCTGTGACAAGTTCAATGTTATGCTGACAATGTTGACTGAAGTGGAAGAATTGCAGAAGTGATGGCCATTAAAAAATTGGGTAAACAACAAAAAAAGCCCCTGTGGTTAGGCAATCATACATAAAAACCCCTTGTGGTTTCATATCATACCAGTCGATACCCCGTGGTTTGAATTAACCTGAAAAGTGGACGGAAATCGTCAAATATTCGGCGTGTGTCTTAAACGAACTGCAAAGGCGCGTGCATATGCGAAAAACAGATTTCCACCACAAACTTTCACCTGATATGCCTATTTTAGCCTTCACTCTTTAATAATAAGAGACCAGCTTCCGTTTCTTCTGAGTCTTCATTCAATCTGTTTCCAGATTATTCATTAACTACTGTAGACACCAAAATTTTAGTGTATTTTTATTTACTGTTATTTTTATTTTTCATGCTAGTTTTTATTTACTTTTAGTCTTTTATTTTTGTTTTAAGTCATTTTAGCATAGAATTTATTTTTTTTTTTAAAAAAAAAGAGGGAAACCCGCAAGCGGGTTTCAGGCTATTTAACAAATTACTTTAAAAAAAAATTTTTTTTTTACATGCAAGCTGCGTTGAGTTGCACATGCCCATCGGAGGGCCCTAGGATGCCCAGCAAACCTCCCCTCTCATTCTCACCCTTCAGGTGAGGGTTTGAGAGTATGTGTTTGATATAAATAGAACAGAAACGCAGCTTTTAGTCATTTTACATAAGGGGGAAACCCGCAAGCGGGTTTCAGGCAGGCTATTTAACAAATTACTTAAAAAAAAAAAAAATTTACATGCAATCTGCGTTCTTCAAAAGGGTATTTTCGTCTATTCACTCAGGAAACCCGCAAGCGGGTTTCAGGCAGGCTATTTAACAAATTACTTAAAAAAAAAAAAAATTTACATGCAAACTGCGTTCTTCAAAAGGGTATTTTCGTCTATTCACTCAGCTCCGTCTGTTTTGCCGATTTCCGTCCACTTTTCAGGTTAATTCAAACCACGGGGTATCGACTGGTATGATATGAAACCACAGGGGGCTTTTATGTATGATTGCTTAACCACAGGGGGCTTTTTTGTTGTTTACCCTAAAAAATTGTTGCTCAGTCGAGTCATTTGCTTTCTTATGCCCTCCGATTCCTTATTTAACACGATTTGCTTTGATTTTATTTAGCAGATCATCGACTCAAGCCCTGGATTTTGTCCAAGACATTTTTTGTTTTCATTTTGGATTTTTGGGTGTGTATTTATCGCAGACTTGTTTCGTTTACTTTTTAATTGGAAAAGGCGCCAGAATGGAATTCCCTAAAATGCCCCTTTTGTATTGCACGATTATGAACCTAATGGAAATTATACGGTGGCGCCGCTGCAAAGATCCTTGATTGGAACCGATATATAGGTTTAGGGATCCAATTGGCTAGAAATAATATATAGGGACTAAATTGACGGAAAAAAAAAGTTTAGGGACTAAATTGGCGATTTTCCCTAAGTGTAAATGGTTGCAGCCCCCACATCAAAACAAAAAAATCCCCTCCGGAGGTTTTCATTTTAAAATTTAAATACGGGAGTACACTTCGACAAACTCAAACAGAACGGTGGCGGTGTGTGTTTCAGAGTCCTTGACCGCCCAGCTGAATGCTGACACTACCTATCTCGGTAAACTCTCAATTTGCTTCCGTGCTTCATCTCTTTCTTTCTTTCGCATGTTTTCATTAAAAGGAGAAAATTTCATTCTTGGGTATTATATTGTATTTGTGTCGGTACCCCAATCTGATTTTATCCAAAAGAAAAAAAAAACGAGAAATCCTTAATGAATAGAAGCCCGAATTTAACCTAGCCTAGATTGTAGAAACCTGGGAGTTTGTCGAAGGAGGTAATCCGTTAACTGACATGGGTACTGTGGCGAAAAACACACATTTGGGGCAGCCCCATCTCAATTAACTTCCAATTCGAAGCACGGATGACACAAGGGGTTTGCTTCTTTCGCTTGTGGTTGTTTCAGAGCTTGAGAAAGAGTGGTGAAGTCACTCATTGAACGGGAAGCATATATAGGAGTGCAGTTTGGTGTTCAAACTGATTAAGCACTTGTGAGGTTATAATTATGGTTTGATGAGCTGATGACTATAATGCTATTGGATAAACGGATAATAGGAGGCCAAAATTTGCAGTAGAATAGACAAACAACACCATGTTTTAGTATGCCATCTCTCTCTACTTTGCAAGATTTTCTAGTTTCACTTAAATGAAGAGAATTATAATTGTTTTTCTTCCTGTGTGATATTCCATATCAGAAAACAGGTTGCTGCTCAACAAATGATGATGATATGCCGATTTGTGTCTAGATCTCCTTGGTCTAGAAGGTTTTTTAGTAGTGATGCTGACAGGCGTCTTGCCAATGCTATTTCAGAGATTCATAAGGTAAGAGCCCCTTAATTGCTTTTATTTATGAATGTTTCCATTGATATGATTAAACCCGGCTTATTTAAGAAGCACACATTAACATAGTCTTTGCATTTGATTAGAGAAGGAAACCGTTTGTTACCTCTACTAAATTCATGTAATTGTATCCAGAGATTTGCCTCGGCATATGCCAGTAATTGTGAATTTATAATTAGCCTGTTAGCTTTCTGGACCTGATTACACCCCTGCGGTTGTTTTTGTCTCAGGAAATGGAATCTGTCTTTGGTGAACCTCCTGCATCTGGTCTTGCTGGTTCTGCTGAGAACCATTCCGTGACTCTGAATTTCAATGATTCTCAGATTCGATCCGAAGGTTGTACAGAAAATAAACTTGTTTCTGGATTGACACATATTGGTTCCCAAGGTGAAGCACAAATGGTGGACGTCTCTCTCAAAGAGATTACCAAGAGGGTTGCTGTAGCCAGTTGTAAAGTTATTCTAGGCAGGGAGGTTTTTGATCTGGTTGCATCTGAGCAGATGAAAAAAGGAGATGTTCTTAGTGTGGCAAAGATGGCAGGGATTTGTGGAGCAAAGCAAACAAGTAATCTCATTCCTTTGTGTCACAACATCAACTTGACCCACATTCGTGTGGATTTGTCACTGAATCCCCAGGATTTTAGTGTCGACATTGAAGGTGAAGCTGCCTCGACTGGAAAAACTGGGGTAGAGATGGAAGCTATGACAGCAGCTACAGTTGCCGGCCTAACAGTGTATGATATGTGTAAAGCAGTTTCAAAGCACATCCAGATTACAAATGTACAGCTTGAGCATAAAGCTGGTGGAAAAAGTGGGGATTGGAGGAGGAAGAATAGATGAAGGTTAGTGCCCTTATGCATCGATGAATTACTCAAGAAATCTACCGCCTGAGCATGAAAATTTGATTGCTCTTTTTGTAGTACCTAGCATGTGCCACGGTCAAGCTTATGCCTTTTTCTTGGGAAATGTGATTCATGATGAACTTGAATGAGCTTGAGTTTTCCTCCAGATCTAATGCAGTTCTGATTCGACAGTGCTACAGTTATTGTTTCCCTTTGTTGCCTGTTGTTCTACCCAACAAATTGCAGCAGTTATCACATGATTTAAAGAAACAGGAAGCACCTATTATATAATTATCTTAAAAATCTAAGATAAACAAAACAAAGCAGCCATTTCTTTTCTTTCCATGCAAAATTATGTTGCTTGGACTTCACCTTCATTTTTACTCTGTCTTCCTTTTGACTTCATCTTCATTGTAATTCGGTCTTCCTTTCGTTAAGAAAGAGGAGAACTACCTTTTGGATGATTTAATGAAATAGTCTATCCTTTTACAACTCAATTCTGTGGAACATCACCGCTGAGGTTCATGAACATTAGTTGCAATCAAACTGAAATTTGTGTTTTCCTTGGCAGTTCTTCCAGTCTCCTTGATTTGCTTTGGCTAGATGTGTCGATCTGAACATGACAGAGCATGCTTCTTTTCTAATAGATAAGTTAATAATGGGGCTGTCTCTCAAGGGTGAGCTATAAATATCTTGTTGCTTCAAGTGAAAGAACTTAGATTAATTGCCTCAATTTCGCATCAGAAACTTGTTTAGCCTGAGCATTTCTGTTGTTTAAGTCGAGGAAGGGCCAAAATAATAGCAATGCTTTTATAAACCTAGCACTGGGGATGGAAAAGTTACCCTTCTCTGGATAATTGAGGATGAAGTAGGTTAGTAAGCAAGCAAGCATCTCTTTAGTTGTAATAGGCATCTTCAGACATGATGACGGTTGCACTGAATTTGCCATTAGCTCAATCATTATAAGTTGGTTATGATGGGTAGAAGTCCTAGTCTCCGACATCTTATTTGTTCTTTATGGCGTGTCACGTGTGTAATTCTAGATTTGATTGATGTCAAATTTTCTCATGTTCTTTCCGGTGTATAACTTCATTGCGAGTCTATAAGTTGCTGACATGCTCAACATGCATTTCTTAGGTGCCAGGACTGGTGAATTTTGTTGATCAAATCTTATCCCAGCCAGCAGTTACAAAAATCCTTTGGCCTTAATGTGGTTGACTATCTGCCGGTGATGACACTCTGAATGGCTGGTTTGCTCTCTTGTCGAGATCTGTACCTGTCCTTTTGGTGTTTTTGGTTTCCTGCATTGTAGAATTGTCACATTGATCTTACAGCCTCAAAAGCTGGCAACTGCTTTTCTTTCGCTGCATTTCTTGGAGCCAATGATCCCTTTAGTAATGGAAGCTTTATCAGAAAAGTCTAGTTTTTTGCTGCATTTCTCATGCTCGATGTTGCCTTCATTCAGTTTCACTAGGTTGTAGGCAAAAATTTGCGAGTAACACCATGAAGGGAATCTTCACGAGATTCGGGTTGGAATAAGCGTGCAGTGGAGCTCTTTTGTTGTTTCGTTTCGGTTTTTTAACGTTTTCCTAACAATTGATTTGTCATTTAACAGTAAGATGAATGTCTTAGTAGAAACTTCTCTATCCAAAAAAACCAGCATTTTTTTTTTCAGGTAAGTGAGAGGTCTTGGAGCCTCCCTTACCATCCAATTCAACCCTTTTCTCAACCAATATTGTATGTTTTCCTGTTTTCAAATTTTTTGTTTTTATGATTCTTATAATAAAGTTTTTCAACTATTATTATTCTATCACAGACCTGCTTTTTGTATTACATTTGTTACGGTAACACTTCTCTAAAGGTTTTTCTTAACTAATGCATTGTACCCCGGCGGCATCGATTCCAGAAATAACAAATTTTGGGATTTAACATGTATACTTCTCACCCGTAATGATTCCTTTTGTTGATAAACCGCAACCGCATTAAATGCAGAACAGCGACAAAAATTGGTCAATAATTTCACATATTTCCAATAATTTTAGTCATATATCGCTACATAATTTGGTGTCATTTTTGCACATTTGACTCGATCCTCCAAAATAAATAAATACGGGGAGTCCTTCATTGGGTTAAGTACTCAAGTGTGCTACCTATACAAAGTCGGAGCCAAAAAAAAAAAAAAAACCAGTATCATTCAATGTTGGCGTCGCCCAGATTCGAACTGGAGACCTTCAGTGTGTTAGACTGACGTGATAACCAACTACACCACGACACCCTGTCGGTGAAAAACCGTGGCATGCAAGGTCAACTCAATAGAAGGGAGTTCTTCATTGGCTTCAATGTACTACCATACAAAGTCGGAGCCAAAAAAGATAAAAAGCCAAAATCAATCGATTTTGGCGTCGCCCAGACTCGAACTGGAGACCTTCAGTGTGTTAGACTGACGTGATAACCAACTACACCACGACACCCAGTCGGCCAAATTTGAACCTATTGATTATTTATCCGTAATCTCTTCATATAAGTTTGATCCACTCTGACTAAAGTCGGCTGACTTCCGCGATGTTGACTTCGATCTGGCTCTCTACTTCTTCCTAGAGCTGTGCATCTTTTGAGCCCCATCCCCCACCCCGGCCCTTTTCCTCTCTCTCTTCGACCCCATATTTCCCACGGCGTCTCTATCTCTCTCCCTCTCGTCTCCGTCCTAGGGTATATTGAAGATGTCAGGCGCTGCACTTGACATGACACTTGACGATCTAATCAAGCAGAATAAAAAACCTAGTGGTGGAGGTGGCGGCCGCGGCCGCGGCCGTGGCTCCGGTCCCGGTCCCTCCCGTCGATTTAATAACCGTGCCGCCAATCGAACCACTCCTTACGGCGCTCCTAAGGTTAGATCCGATCTCTGTTTGTAATTTGCTCTCTATCTGGTTATTTACTGTTCAAAAGCTAATTTTTTGGTTGTTTAGGCGCCTGACTCGGTGTGGACGCACGACATGTTTTCTTCGGATCAGGCTATGGCCTATGCCAGCCAACTCGGCGTCGGCGGCGGTGGCCGAGCGTCTGCGATTGAGACTGGAACCAAGCTGTATATTTCCAATCTAGATTACGGTGTCTCTAATGAGGATATCAAGGTAATATTCCTTTAATCTGCATATATTTTTTTCCTTTGATGATGCTACCACCCCCGGGGGGGGGCCGCATACACAAAGAAAGGATCTGAGATTCGGTTACCTAGCTCTATTAGGGTGGATTAGTTCAATATTGGTGTTGAATTCGTTGATTTTTTGTCTGGAATTTGGTGATTCGAGGCTTAAAATGCATAATTTTATGCAAACAAGCTCTTGTGCATATTCAATCACATATATGACAAAGAATACGATTTAAATTAATAACATTTCAAGCAGAATGAGTGTAATCTGTCCAGTTAGTTTTACTTATCCTGCATCGGAGTAGCTGGAACATCGTGTCTTGCTTGTTTTAAATGCATTCTGTATGCGCTGTACTTCCCAAATGAATATGTGGTAAATATGACAGCACGCACGGTATGCTGGTAGATTTTGGTCAAATTGTGAGGTACAAGATAGAGAATAGGTTGTAAGACTGGCTGAGGGAGTTTCGTTTCCTGCACTATGTTGTCCTTGATTCTATCTTCTGGCTTGTGCTTGAGTTATTTCATTGTGGTGTTCGTTATCCTTGTCAATTTTTTACTCAAGAGAAAAGGATATCTTTATTTCCTGCAGGAACTGTTTTCTGAGGTTGGTGACTTGAAAAGATCTACAATACATTATGACAGGAGTGGTAGATCAAAGGTATTTATCAAGTTTGCTAATGTGGTTTACTGGAGAACTCTTCTTGTGTTGCTGTGGTTTAGAAAGCTCTTTTCTCTAGGGAACAGCAGAAATAGTCTTCTCTCGTCGGCAAGATGCAGCAGCAGCTGTCAAGAGATACAATGGTGTTCAGCTTGATGGTAAACCAATGCAAATAGAGATCGTTGGAACAAATATTGTGACTCCTGCTGCTGGACCTCAATTTCCAGGTGGTGCTTTTGGTGACTCAAATGGAATCCCTAGAAGGTACTTGATGTGTTAATCGCAATTATTCTCATGGTTCCTTCTTCTTCTTCTTATTCTCATCATCATCATTACTATTATTATTATCATTACTATTACTATTATCATTACTATTGCTACTACTACTACTACTACTACTACTACTATATAGAACAAATTTAGTTTTGATTATGAAATTTATTCAATGTGGATGTGGATGAGAAATTTGTTGAATTTGTTCTTGTTCTTTAACCCTGCAAACATGATGTTTAGGACAGAAATTTTCAAGTTACTTTGTCATTGGATCTCAGGTTTTAGGTAAATTTTCTGTGACAACTAGTCAGTTTGAATTACACATGGATTTTGTAAATGGATAGCTAAAATGTCAAATTTGGCTCATGGCTAAGCTTGATGTGAAGGGAAAGGTGATGGTAGAAGTTTTCAATGAAAAAGGAAATCAATTGGCATTCAACAATATAGAATGGCTTCCCATAAATTTGGTGGGAAGTTGTTAATATGTTCATGAACTTTGTGGGGATGATTATCCTGAAGCATTGTTGTGTTCGTATATGTAAGTATAGAAATTTCTCTTCAAACCTGATTTTTGGTGTACATTTATACGAGGCTTACAGATGGTGAGTTTTGGCATGCATATATGACTCTTCAAGTCAATGTCCATTACACACTGTTTACATGGTCCTATGGTCCTTTGCTGTGTTGTTGTGTATAAGATTGTTTTTTTTTTTTGAAGTAACATAGTCAGTTGCTGCAGACAAGGTTGGTTTTGCTTCTGTTATTGGTGAATTTTTTTTTTTGTGCTGGTTGAGTTTGCTTGCTTGCTTTGTATTCTTTTCTGTGGAGAAACATACATTTGTTTAGCTGTTGGATGTTGTTACATTTTTTTATTCTTTTTTCCCCCCGTTAACAGTGGACAAGGCAGGGGTGGCTCCTTTGGAAGGCCACGAGGTGGAGGGGGACGTGGTCGTGGATTTGGGAGAGGTCGTGGACGAGGAAGAGGTCGTGGTGAGAAGATATCTGCAGAAGCTCTTGATGCTGAGTTAGAGAATTATCATAAAGAATCAATGGAAGACAATTAAGCAAAGGGATGTCTTCTAATTCCTTTTTGCCATAAACCTATTGTGGCCTTTGTGTACTAGTAGCCTTTTTTCTAGAGTGACAAGAAAGTAACTTGTAGGGAGATAGAACCCTTGGTTTGGGAGCTTGGCTTTTTAATTGTTCGTCCTCTCATTTGGATATGTTACTTGGGATGGAGATATATGTGTTGCGAACCTTTTGTTTTTCCATACTCAAAACTGGTTACATATTCAAGTAGTGGGGGATCAGGTGGCACTTGAACTTTATTTTCACATCAAGACAAAGCATTGCCTGGAAACAGAGGAGGGAAGTTCAGGCACTCTGAAGCCCTATCTTTGAAATGCTAGGATTGCTTTTGGAGTCATACATTGTCGGTTAGCAACTTCAAGGTAGTTTCCTAATTCTGTTTTTCTTCGATTATGTTTTGAGTTTTTATTTATTTATTTGAGATTCTGTCCTTAGTTTCCTGGGGATGTTTTCTTATAGAATGTCTGAGCAGTCTGCATGTTCCATGTCATGGTCCCTTGATTATTGCAGCACAATCATGTCTGTCTGATTATTTGTTAGGTAGTTTGACTTGGCTATGCTTATCAGTTAATGAAAATTTCTGATTAAGGACCTCTTGGTATGGGGAACATGAAAGCTGAAAGCAGTTTTGCTCAAATATTTGGCAAATTTTTGGGCAATATACTATGATCCTGATGCTCAAGCGTGGCAAGTTTAATTAACATCAGAAACTCAAACCGGTTCTTGGATTTTTTTTTTTGCAAAATTATGACAGAAGTTGGCAGTTTGGCTAACTTTGGTTACATTTGAATATTCCTAGATTTTTTGACTGGCAGATATGTAAGAGTGTGGACTGTAGATTTCCCTTTCTATGAAAAAGATTTGACATTGTGGCATACTACCTTTGAGCTCAACGTACTGTATTTTACTTATGCTATATCTGGTTTAGCAGCTCAATGTAATGCTGATTGTTGGAACTGATGTGGGAGGGCCTCATTTTTTTTTGTTTGATCGAGGAAAAGATCACATTGGAATCATTGGTCAATATTCTGAAGTGTTGTTTGAGTTTGCTAAGGCCTTTGGTTCCCTTATTTGCTGGAGGTGGTTTAGATAACATGGTAGAATTCCTTTATCTTTCCAGTGGTATTCAATATAGCATATTCTGGTTGATCTGAAGGTATTATAGCAGAATAATGATCTTCTGGGGCTATTTGGTTTAGGAACTGCTTCAATCAATTCTTCTCTAGTTGTAGTGCTCTGCTGGATTGTTAGCATGCATGAATTTGTGATGCTGGCACATGGTACAGTATGGCAGTTGAGGTGTCACAGAAGATTCTAACTTGGATGACAATGTAACTTGGATGATAAATTTGGTTTTGGACTTGAATTACTCATTTAAAATCTAATAGAAGTTCTGGATTTGGCTCAACAACTATTGGCAGCTGGGTGACAGCTCTAGTGAGATTTACTGATTAGTTTTTCTTGCGTTGGCCTCCTGAATGGATCCGTTCTCTGCATAACGGGTGTTTTTGTGTTATTTCTCTTGATGCAAAGCTATCCTGCAAAAACTGAATGCCACAGAATTTTAGTGAAGACTAAATAAAATGTTGATCAGAGAAGATAAACTGTGCTTGGTATTGGGCTGTTTGTGCTTTGGGTCGCATGAAAAAGAGAGAGGGATGTCTCCTGCAGTTTCCTCCTTATGTAGCTTGTACACGGTGAGAATAAGGAAGATGTTTTTGTGCAGGATAAAGGTCCTATTTTTGAGCTCGGGGTGATGTAAATATTGCCGCCTTCTTACTTTTTTCGTGGAGCTTATTGTGTGGTTTGACTTCTTCTTTGGTATTTTCTTGCGAGGAACCTACATGTCTGCACGTAGGTATTGCATATCTAATGGATCTGAAACGAAAATTGCACGCTATAGCTGCCAGTGCAGGAAAACCTGACCTCTTGGTATTCTGTTTCTGGAGATGTAAATAAGTAGTTATGCATCTTTTGCCAGAGTTTAACCTGTATCTTCTATAGATGAAATAAATCTAGTGTTTTAGGTATGGTGCACCGCAGTGCAAAATATTATCTGCTATGGGAATTTAATTTATATAGCTCACTTTTATGAGAAGTTGAATTTACCATCTTTAATAGGTTTGCGGACTTTTCTCTGGATTTCAGTGTCCTCAAACTGCATGCTTCCTTTGGTCGAAAAGGAAAGGTGATCCCTCTGTTGCTAGTGAATAGCCCTGGATGGGATATATTGACTTGAGCGGAACATTTTAACGACTCTCGCCCATACTCAAATGTTGGTATGCAAATGGTTAATTTGAACCAGATTCATGAGATTAGGCCTTTTGAACGGCTAGCAAGTATCGTTCCATTTAGATAGTGTGAGCGGTGGGGGGGGGGGGGAGTGAGTTCGAACCAAATTCATGAGATTAGCTGATTGTTGCTCCAATTTGATCGTCAAGCAATTATTAAGAATATTTAAATGGTAAGGAAAGAAAAGATGCATTATATTTTTCTGAATTAAAGTCTTATTTGTATTTTCACCACAATTTCTATTAAACACACGAACAAGAATATGGTCATTCGTACGTTGATGATGTACAATGCACTAAATAACAAACATGGTACCCTTGGGCCTATTTGGTACGGGGGATGCAGAGCCAATACTTATAACCAGCCACATATGAGGAAACGGATGTGCTCTGGGTCTATATGCAAAAGGTTTTAACTACTATAATAAGGGGAAAAGGCTTTTTTTTTTTTTTGGTGTTTTGGGGGGGGGGTTTGTTGGGGGGTGGGATTGGGGAAGGGGACAGTTAAATGATAAACGGAAAAAGACAAGCTCTGTGTACAAAATGGAATTTCAGTTTTGCAAACTAAGACAGGATGCAGAAGCCCGCTAATTCTCCTGGAGCAGAAACGTACATAATCCAAGAATGAGGAAATAGTTATGGAAGTATTTGCTGACAAAAATAAAGCGCAATTCCAAACTAGTCACAAATGAATAACTTACAGGAGATTGCAAAAAACTGCTGTATACCTCTATTCTTGGTTTTCTTTATTCAGCTTATCCCAACTAGAAAATATCAACCGCAGAAGAGAGTAAAATATGCCTTGTACGCATGAAACGATAAAATTCCAACAAGAGGAGGGCCAATAACATGGATACAATAACCGGAAAAACAGGCTTATGAGATGCCGAAGATATCTGCCCACCTGAAAAAGAACATCATTCACCTGATAAGATACTTCAACCGGAAGGGCATCAACAATTTAAGATCAAATGCTCGTAACTGAATGAAAAAAAAATTTTCAACAACTGCCTTTCCTTTATATGAACACTAGGATAAAAACTGTCTCGTCTATTTTACTCCTGAAAATTTCTTCTTCTTCTTCTGTCGTTTTGAACAAAAGAACTATGCTTGCAAAGACCTGCTATCAGTCTTAGAATTGCAACGGCATGAAGATATTGAGCTAATGACAGTAGCAGTACCTGCAACCATGACTACACACGCTTGCTCTTTTCTCCCTTTCCCCAACAGCTAGCCACCCAAAAGGCCCACAACCCACACAGGAGATTCATCATTCGGCAAAATCAAGGATGAGTGACAACTTGAGCTTTTATTTTCTAGTAAACCAATATAAATCTTCAGATTTTGTCTTCTCTCCAGTTATTCTAATTAAACTTAAAAAGTTATTATTTATCCGAGAGTCACAGTCCCTCCTACAGTACTTCGGATCAGAACCCTCAAGTAACAGCAAAAGAAGATGACTTAAGCCTAAGCGGATAATTAAACGAGAACTTTCAGTACCACGCAAGTGAACATGATAAAATGTGCAGCCTGACGAGGGAAGGGAGCAGAGGCACAACTAAAATTCACCATTGTCACAAAGCTAATAGAATAAATTATTTCTATGAACTAACTTTCCAGGTTAGCTTCTCCATTTCTATGAAAAAATTCTCTCGTTCAGAATAATTTTCAGAATGGTAAAGTAGCCCTCAGAAATTATAGCTCAAAAAATTGTCATTTAGGGGAAATAAATTGCTAGGATACAACTGACATATCACAAAAAGTCCTTTACTAGAAGAAAAATGGAAAATAACCACCAAGCATGAAGACTGAAAAACTAGTTCTTGTTACCCCAGATTAAATATAATAACAATACTTACAGGGAAAAGCACATCTAAGGCATCCCAAGCTGCATGACGAACGGCTCTAGTTGGATATGTTGGACCACCAGGAGAAGTGAAGCTATACAAGCAGGTCTTCAACCTTGTACTTGTTGTCATTCTTAGTTCTAGACCTACACAAGTCCTAAAAGATTACTGCAAAGCCAAAGCAAATAGATAAACCTTGTGCACTCGTATTTGGCTATGCGTACCCTGGAGAACCTTAATCTGGGAAAGATAATGTAGCAGTGCCGGCTCAACCTTCAATTTAAGAAGCTGAAACAAAAGCAGATAACAGGTGAGACTTTTTACTTTGAGCAACACGAGGGCTGCAAGTTGCCAGGAGGGGTAGACAAAGACAACATCATCCCTTACCAGATCAGCTATTTCAGTGACAAAAACATCTGCTGGTCCACCAATTAAAAATGCATTTGGCATATCAGGAAATTGCTTTAAGAAGCTTTCTAGCTTTTCAGCTGCAAAAAGAGCATGTCAAACACTGGAGAAGTCAACCATCAAAACTTGAATGTGTACTCCAATAAAGACTACCTGCATTGTAGAAGAATATAAACCTTGAAAGGAGAAGAAATAGATCACGTTGGGCCTGACAAAAATGGAGGACCAATCAGCATTGAGATAACAAGGACAAATTAAGTTCAACGACCCCTATAGGTGAAGTAACTCTTTCATGTGCATAATGTGTATAAAATAACAAAGCAGGTCATGTGGGCAAGAGTAACAGACCTGTAAGGGGATCTTCTTCAACCGCTCAGGAACAAGTGCAACATCCTCCAGAAGATACTGCAATAGATAATTTTACAAGCATAAGAATGTCTTTCTGCCAACTTAATTGCTGAATAGAATTTGTGATTTATCTCGCAAAAGCAACTGACCCAAAAGAGACTTTGAAAACGCCTGGTGTTTGATTGGATGTCAATCCTGCAAGAAACAAGCATCTTTTTGATTAATTTCTTTCTCTTCCTTTCTCTCCCAACTTAAAATCGGATAAGCAAGTACGAAATGTATGAAAAAAGAACTCTACTTGCATACAGAAAGGCACAAAATATAGCAGCATAAGTAACTGGCCACATCTATAAAAATTCTAATACAAATCTAAAGCCTGGCTGTAATTGACATTGGATGACATAAGTCCATTCTTGCATAATGACAGAAAATCTGAGTTCATATTAGGTTATTGTTACGCCTGAATATATTGTGCAAACTAGGAAGAACAAGCCTTCTATGGAACTGATCTTAATTGCTTAAGGCTTCAGAATTGCTTTTACTTTGCCTAATTTTAGTTGTTTAAATAACAATAATAGATTAAGCACATGAAAAAGAGCTATATTAAACTATAGTGGTTGTTCCATCCCTATAACACAACGAAAGCTACTGATCACCACAACCAACCTGTATGTAAGATGCTACTGACAGTTTAAAATCATACCAGAAGACATTTGTTGCACCCTGAACAAGAGCAGATGAGTAACGAAGAAGAGTTTCAGGATTCTCAAGTTGAACCTCAAATAGCTGCAGAGCAGAGCTCATAAAAGTCAGAGACACTTCATATCCAAATAACAGGGGAAAGCCATAAAACAAAAGGATATAACACAACAGAAGTTTACTTACCCACTTGTGGAACAAAAGGGTAAAAATATTAGATGCAAATGACTGGCTCCAAAGTTGAACAATCAAATCTAAAATTGGCTTCCCATTTTGAGGCATGCAAACAAAATAATCAGCCAAGACATTGTAAAAGCATATAGGGCCTTCGGTATAGTCTTCTGCTACTGAACTTACATCTTCCCTCCTGAAAATGATATCTGTTTCATTTTTGAACAAAATATTAAGAACATAAATGAATTACAAATGCAACACAAGTTAAGCACTAAGCATCGAAGCTAAGTTACCAATCTGGACTGAATATTAACAAAAATTATAAATGGGAGAAACATTGTAAAGGCTCCAAAGTCTTAAAGAAAGTCCCAGTTTATTCATTAAAGTCTAGATTTAGTCGTCTGAGTACCTGAAGCTCCCTGCATAAGTTAGAACTGTAAAAAGTTTCTAATCAAAAAACAATAACCCAAACAGGCAGACAGAATGATGGGGAGATATGTTGATAGAGGCATCTCTCTCTCTCTCAAAAGCAGAGGGAGGGCAAGGGAGGAAGCAAAAGAAATGGCGGAAAGGGAGAAGAAAGGAGTAAAAATAATAACGAAAACAAATAACTGACCATATTAATGGAAACAAATAAACTGACCAAGCAAAATTTTCTAAATGAGGCATCAAATTAACAAATTACAAAAAGGACAGATTAGGTTTACCCACACCCTCAAAGATGAAATGATGGACTAGATCATTGACATGAAAGGTCCAAACTAGATAGCATTTTGTATGCAACAAATTTCGCAGGTATCAGTGGCATATCGCAATATCTAACTTGGGATGAATTTTGATGAGAACCTAATGTATAGACAAGTGGTACATTTACATTATATTAAAATTCTATAACCTAGGCATTATCTAATCCATTTGTGTATATCTTGGGATGACAATCAGAACTCAGCAAGAAACGACTTGAAATGCAAAACATTGTCATTCAGCCATCGTAATTGGTTGCTTGTGGTTTTCACTAAAATCTCTTAAGCTACCCCTAATTCTATATACATATGAAGATGAGAATTTACAAACACTCAGGAACATCAGGTGGTTCATTAAATTCTTCTTACACAGTAGGGTAACTGTATGACAAAAAATCATGTTCACCATCAAATTGTTTATTGTCACCATGGCCCATCAAATACGTCCAAACAGAAGAGTTAAAGATCTCAGTCATGATTGAAATGAACTTAAAATGAAGGCAGACAAAAATATAGCCACAGAATCATTTAAAAATTTTCAGGCCATGACTCATAAAACGAAAGAAGAAACAATGCATAATGCCTGACCTTTTTGCTTAATGCTTCGATACAAGATCATTTATACCAATTATTGGAAAGAAAATAAAACATAAGAGGATAGATTTATCAGCATAAAACCGAGGAAAAAAAAGAATATAAAGTAAAAGTCTCAAAGTCCCAGTATGGGAAGAACTTCTGAATTTCAGCATTCAATAACTAAAATCATCTGTACAATTTAGCCATCATCCTCATGAGCTTAGCAGCTATGTATACAACAGTAAATGCAAATAATACAAATACATCAATAGGAAATCTAGTATGCGCCATTAAAATTCAAATTCTTAGGGAAATCAACATAACTCGATCTCTATCCATTTACTACATATATTTATATTCATATCCTACTATCTAAAACAGCTGTTTAACACTAATGTTTATGAACGAATTATCTACATCGACAACTGAAACTTTAATTATTTCCTGTACTGAAATGCAGACAAGCAAACACGAACAGAAAAAAAAAAGTAATTCATTTGAATTTGCCACCAATACACACAGATAAATATGCTGTCATCTCTTATTCAAGCACAAAAAAAAGGAGTAAATAATTATTAATATTCTTTTGAAGTTACCTCTCGCTCGATCATCTACTTCTAAAGCTATATCCGCAAACAACTCCTGCAACAAATTCCGCCTTTGCGGTGCCGAAGCTAATGCCTATGCAAAAGTATCAAGGGAAAAAAATTTCGTAAATACAAGCAATCCTGAGAAGTTGATTTTTTTTTTTTTTAATAGGCGTTAGCTTTAGAAGTGTGTGTGTGTAATTATCCTTTTCCTTTAAAACAGTAATCAAATAAAAAACTAAACTGATATGCAACTTAACTATTTAGATATGTAAATTTATATGCACGTACTCGTTGGAGTTTCTTCTCGATTTCCTGAGTAAGAGCTCTGAGATAAGCGGAGCTTCCAGAAATCACCGCCTGTATCATTCTGATCGGACTTTTTCTCCGGTGGAAACGATCATTTGACACCAGAAAAAAAAACAAAAGGCACTCCAAAATGAAGCAAAAAGAAAAGGCCCTAATCTAATCTTGAAATCTGAATTATGCGAATTCGCAAGACAGAATGTTTCGTTTAGATTAATAAAACAAATACTACAAAATGTTTCGCTGCTAAGCTGAAGATTTACGGTGGAATTGACTATTCAAATCTGTAACTGACGTCGTTTTACCGGCAAATCATCGTTTTTGAAAAAAATGTTAACGTGTATAAAATCTTCTACTGTGTCTGCGCGAAGGTTACCCAAAGTTATAGCTTCTGAAAGAGAACTCGAGGCTTCGTTTGGGTTGCCAGACAAGACCAACTTTACTCACTCTCGATATACAAAGAAGACTAAAAGGTACTTCCAAATAAGGCCTTGTTGGGTTGAGTAGTTTCCAAAGCATAATTGGGGCATGTGTCGTGACTGAGAAGCGATGCTCAGTATCCCAATTGGAGACGGTCATGGGTGACGTGGGCTATTTGGGTCTCCTCCACGTGGGTTTCAAACAGTTCTACTTTATGTAGTAAAAATGAGGGATTTTGGATAAAGTTAACCGATTTAATTGATGGGCCCACCGCCCGCAGATGAGGTTCTCAGAGAACGCGTTTCCGTAAGGTTGGCTGGGTGGAAAAAAAGCAGAGAGCGGTGGGTGATGGGCTTGTGCTGGATGTGGATCCACCACTTATTCGTCTTTAGTGAGCAGGGGTGTCGGTTCCGTTATCTGTGGTGCTTCAATAAAAAATACACATTGAACTCAACAAACGGGTACAAAGTAGTAAAAATATTTCTGCGTTTGATTTCCGGAAAAATCTCCAGAAAAATACACATTCAGTCAGAACTTAAATGCTGCTATTAAACATTGAACACCCCCCCCCCCACAAAAAAAATATATAAATACATATCCCAAAATAAATTTAGGATTTTCATTCCCTAATGGAACCTCAACCTTTGATTCCCTTGTGGAATCTTATTTGTTGTACCATTTGACATTTTGACCCCATCTCTAAGCTTTGGCCAAAGTAGAGGAGACATGCTATAGAGAAATCATGCGACTCATTTGCTACGTGGTTCTCTCTTTTCTCTCATGAGTTACAACTTACACGCGGAGGAACAAAACATAACCACGAATGTTGTCCCATCCTAGCAGAAAACAACTGCTTCAAAAGTCATGAGCTAATTCTTGAAAATTTGTGTAAAGACGCACAAAAGATCAAAGAGCAAGACTCGCATAACTCCAGAAATTCCTGCCTTAATTCCATCAGTGAAACTTGTTCATATGTTTTCATGTACATATATTCTTTATATTTGTAACTTCTAAACATTGTTTTATGTGCAGTATACTGAAATCATGAAACTCCAATATCATCTCAGAGCTTACGGTGAAATAGCAGAAATACCCCCATTGGAAGTCAGCAGGCGATACAAGAGGATCAGGACTCAGGAGGCGCGCATCTAAGCATAAGGGATCGAAGGCAAGCACTTCTAAGGCATAATAAATGAAAGCAGCAATGCCAAAAAAGCATTGCAGCTTCTCAGCATGCTATGAACGAAAGATTTTTAAGACATAATACATCTCCTAGACCGATCAAACTTACTGTTGCATACATCTCTTACGTGGCCAAAGCTTCTGCGATCATTGACAGCAAAAGATATCATTTGGCTTTCTCAGTGCGTCAATATATTAAATTCCCATGAACACATGATGTAGGGGCCAAACAACCCCACGACCAGCACTGACTCACAATAGCATCTTTATATGAACAAACATCTTGAAAAATCATTGCACGTCAGAAGTAAAAGAAAAGGAAGACTTTCTTACTGGAAAAGAACATGTTACAGAATAATCGCATCTAAATTCTAAACAACCTCCAGAATAAACAAGAATTATCAGAAGAAAGAAGCTGTACAAATGAGTTCCTGATCTCCTTGGGTGCAAAACTAGAGGAAGGGAAACCACATTGGTGAGCCAAATGAAAACAAACAGAAAGCTCACCAGCCCATTAACGTTCTTCTAACCTTGTCTACAATCTGATTCCTTACAACCATATTTGATAATTGGAATCTGCAGTTTTCATCTAAAAGGAACCTGTACACCTCCCATTCACGATCAGCTGTTAAATGCCTTCCAATTTCAGCCTACAAATCAAGTCATTGTGAAATCATTACTCTTAAAACTTCAAATCTTGTTATCCCAAAGAGACAGGACTGCATTCAGTTAAGAAGTTGAAACAATGCCAGCATATTCAGAACTAATATGTGACAGTTATCAGGAAAAGTTTGGTTTAAATCCAAACTTTGCATCCTTACAGAGCTTATCCACTTTTTAAATCCATAGAAAATGATAGTAATTATCAGACTCCACAATTGTTTACACACTGCCAGAATTCAGTAAGGTCGGTCCAATGACGTGTTGTCTTACCAAGAAGATGCATATCCCAAGAGTCTTAAGTGCATGCGTGACATCATAGAACACCCGCGGTCTGCCCTTTCCAGATAACTCAACAGGGTTGGCAACCAAAAGTTCAGTATCTGGTCCACGGTTTGTGATAATTACGCGCAATGGGTGAAGCATTTCCACCTTCAAGCGAGAACATAAAGACTCCTGCTTCTCAGGATCCAGAATCTTTTTCCCGTCCTTCTGTCGGATAAAGAGGTCTAACTCCCGATGACCATTATTAACAAGAGAGAATCGGCCAAAAGATATCTGATAAATCAACAAACCATCTGTATTAGCAGATAATGCCTGACGTAAACTATCATCATGATAAAATTCAAATCTATCAGAATTAGCGAGTTAGTAACATCACCTGAACAGACGATAAAACATAATTTAAAAAATAAAACTAACTCAAGAGATTGTGGGCCACCAAACCAAACTACACTATTGACCAGGTAAATCTAACCATTTGCATTGGTCACCAGTTAATATTTAATTAATCTAAAGCCTAGAAAAGAAAAGCGAAGGACAAATCCTGCTGCTTATTCTGTAGCTAAATGAAGAGGCGAATATTCCAGCCAAAGAGCGATGTTTCTATCTATTTTGCAAGGAAGACCAGAGGTAAATGTACAACTCTGGAAAATTTTCCAAATCAAATTGAGGAAGCCCCAACCATGTGCTGCCCAAAATAACTAGAAAGTGTTTTGAGTTAATCATGTGAAAAGAAGTCTAGTAGTTTATTTTTCAGATTAGCAAGGTGGAAGTATGAGAAGCTCATTTAAAGATGAACGAGGGAACAAATATCTACACCTGTATACCATAATCTTTCAGTGTCCGCAGTATATCATAAAGAAAACCCTTGTGATCAACACAGTTAATCTGAAGCAATGTATGAGCCGGACTCAAGGAGTTATCGACTATTACACTCGACTTTTTCAACTTTGTAACATCTGAGCTTAGAGCTTGTGCGCGAATCTCCTTGTCTGACAACACATATCTAAACAATTCTTCAGCAACAGCAGGAGAAAGGGAAGATATGCTCTGAAGGTTGTCATATTCAGACCCTGCCAACTGAAGTTCACAACTAAAGCATGATTCACCTAAAACAGCTTGTAGTTGGGCACATGTTTCATCTTGCCTTTCTTTCTTGTGTAAGAGCTCCCTGAAAATTAAGAAGTGCAAAACATTATTCTTGTCCATGGGCATTACAATTAATTCAATGATGTCCAAACAAGAATTATGCCCTTACCATGGGAGATTAAGGAGTTGATCACATTTCAAACTATGATTTTAAATGGGGTTACTCTCTTCTATGGTAACAGTTATATCACAAGATTGGTTAATGAACAGAAGTTACTATGATAATGCCCATTTAAAGACATCATAACCACAAAGTCAAAATAGGCGAGCTAACTGCAAGCAGCTATGACTGTTGAACAGGTTTAAGAACCATGAGAGGTTGACATCCTTAATTTTGAAAATGAGCAAGCCATGTTGAATATTGAAAATTGTTATTCTACTCTTTTGTCTCAGCATAATAGGCAGACGAATGCTTTTATAGCACTGAGCACATTTTCTACCAAAACACCACACATACATCTTGGTTATCGTGAAGTAACCACATCAGAGCGAAAGAAAATCAAAATACAGAACGTTTCAGCAACAATCTAAACAAAAACTAATAACTGAAAATTTAATGCAATCAAAAGAAAAAAGAAAATGTTGCAGGAAATACATGTCACGATAAGACCAGATATGTCCAGGAAAGGATCTGAGTCTGGGCATAGTATTTCCCCAGCTTATTGCCCATTGTGAAAACACAAACAGCCAGTGGGATGAGGGAAACAGAAGAAAATTCGTGTATCTCTTGCTGAAATGCACACTAGAAAAGAATGATTGTGGAAGGAAATAAAACACTTACAAGTTGTCTGTTATGAAGAAGAGGTCCAAAATACGACCATCTGGTGTCGTAGTCACTTTTACTCTCTGAATTGTAAGTTCGAGATAGCACAAAACTTGAGTGACATCTACGAACATGTTTTAAAACAAAATCAGAACAGAAAATGAAGCCTATGAGAAACCAACACCTAGTTGTAACTCGTAAGCATATATAGGAGTACCTACCATGCAGTACCCCTTTTCGATCAAGGCCGCAATATTTCAATAGATACACTGGAGAAGGTGTACTGTGCGAAGATGGCTGGTTCAAGTAAAACGAAACCGAGCATGATGGGCAGACAGACAAAAGGCGCTCTTTCAAATTTGGCCATCTCACAGCCGGTGATCTTGCATGAGGAATTACCCATAATACTATGTAGCACCATCTCCCATCGGTTGTAATATCTAGCTCAAAGGAAAATACCAGTCAGCCGAGCCGAATATGATATGCTAAAAGAGATACTCAAACAGTAGAACCATGTAGATCACTAGAAGTCAAAAGCCATTTCTTCTTCTAATCTTCAATCTCTCATCTACGACCTAATTATTCATTATATGATAAAATTCCAGTGGAAACCTATGAATGCAATTCTCATCAAACCTCATAGGTTTTCAATCAAAAGAAACACGAACTACGTTTTGCATGTGCAATAATGATTTAACTATTAAGCTCAGAAGGAACACAATTACAGCAAACTGGAATTGGAATTATGAACATTCGATAAGTAATAAAACGAGACTCGAAATACTGATGATGGAGAAGTGGAAAAAGAAGGGATACTACCTCCTTTGCAGATACAGAGTCCAAAGTCGAGGATTGTGCGGCAAATATCGCAGCCGAGGCCGGTCTTATCGGGACAATTCACGGTGATGACGTAAGGGTCGCCCGGTACCTTCCCTTTCTGTATGACTACGGCGTCATCGCTGGGCAAAGCCATACCGGCAATTGAAGCCGGTGGCGCCAGCCCAAACAGCAAAGCCTAGAGTAGACTGGCTGTTGTGTGAACCACCCAGAGCTTACAAACTC